ACGTATCTACGTTTGGCCTTCCATGATGTTCGCTCCGACAAACCAATTGTTTCATCTGCATTGTCTATCGGTGCTGACTAGAAATACTCATCACAACCATCTGCATTATCTTCATTCACCAGCGCAGTGAGTTCGGCTATCTGATGTTCGGTTACTCCTGTGACCTTATAAACTTGATTGGGAGTGGTTCTGACCTTTTGGTAAACAACGGATTTTTCTTTAAGAACTGGGAACTTACTTTTGGATAAATGAGCGAATTGCACAAAATTTTCAGAAATCAAATTTTTGTGGTTTTCAGGTTCGCTCTTAGTAAACTCTGAACAGTCAACCTCATCCTCTACAGAGATTTCACTCATGTCATCGTCCTCATTAAGTTCAGATGCATTTTCAACATCAATTTTATTTTCTGAACTTAATTTGGTACTCAAAGAGTCAAATTTTGTATGGTTTCGGCTCTGAGTTTCAACTTGTCACTTTCATCCAAAAGGTCTTTGAGCATGTTCTTATCGTCTTTGGACTTAATAAATGATTCAATTTTGTCGAGACCAAACATATAAGTGGGACTTACATCATCTGAAGATACAACACTTTCACATTTGTATGCTTCGGCATCGATTTCATCCTCCTTTAGCTCAAGAAAGGGCAAAATCATGCGATGTATTTTCTGGCCTATTTCACAGTTCAAATGCAGTTGTGTAATGTTAGTATAAAGTCTTTTTGCAATCAAACAAAAAACGTTTCTTTGTTTTAACAATTTAAGATTGTCTCTTTGCAAATAGATGATTTCATCCCTAGACCTAACCAGCTCCAAATCCTTCTACTCAATCCACATTCTTCGCTCCTCACTCTTGGATGACACCCTGCTCATTTGGTTAATGAGATTAGAATTCGTGACACGCGTTTGAGTTAAACAACTATCTAGATTTGAAATTCTTGAATTCAAGTTATTTAATTCTTTTTGATACGATGTTTGTGGGATTTTAAACGAAACAAAAATGGATTGTACCTTCATCTAGTTCATTGATCCGCACACTGAGAGGCTTCGCTGTAAAGCACACATCCTCTTGCTCCTTTGTCACTTCGTATCCACCATCAGTATTATATCCCCTCATTTGGGATACATCTTTCACCATCAAGCATCTTCCATTAGCGTCACCACTCTTCGCCACATAAGCCTTTCCATGAGTAGGCTTTCTCACTTCATCATCTTCTGAGTCGGTCGACATTACCTGTACGCCACTGAACTCATCATCATCTACCGAACCCTGCAGAATTAAAGCATTCATGGAGGGATTAGTAGCAGCTATCTTCCTTTTAACCTCCTCCAGTCTTTTCAGGAGACTCGCTTCTTCATCCTTCTCATCATCCTTCTCCGCCATTTTCTTTAACACGCAATCTATTGCATAGTGATTTTTCCCTCCACAGTAAAAACAGTTGACACCAGAATCAGCTTCACCCTTCGCTTCTTTCTTTGGCTCTTCAATCTTCGGCTCCTCTTTTGCTTTCTTAGAGCTGTAGCTTCCTTGCCAATTTTGATTCTTGTTGGTAGGAAACTTATTCTTGATGAACCGCCTGGGATTTGACACCATCATGGCATAGTCTTCAGATGTCAGATCGTAGTCTCCCAAATTCAGATCTTCTTCTTCTTTTGCTGCGCTCTTACCCTTTGACATAAGGGCCAAGGACCCAAAGTTTGAGACCACGCTTTTCTCTTGCAACACAGTCTTTTCCTGGGATTTCAGAATCCCCACAAGTTTCGCCAAAGAATATGACTTAAACTGCTCATGTGCTTTAACTATCGACACAACCGCCCTCCATTCGGGTCTTAAGCCATTTAAGAAAGTAACCTTCTATTCGATGAGCTTTCTTTCTATATCATGTTTGATCATGTTACTAAGAAGATGATTGAACCGATCGAACGTTTGTGTAACAGCTTCCTCTGGCTTCTGCTTGAACTCTCCAAATTCTGAGAGAAGTAGGGTCTGAATCGAGTGCTCTAGATCTTCATCTGTGGAATATAGTTCTCGCAGCCGATCCCATATTTCCTTTGCTATACTACATGAACTTACCAATCGAAACGTGTCAGATTGAAGGGTGAATCGAATCAGTCTCAATGCTTTAATGTTGCATTGAAACTTTTCCTTTTCGTCCTGAGCGATGTGCATCACATCTTTTAGGAGATCATTGTACTCCTTCTGAGTTTTAATGATTCTTGAAGTGCTTGAATGAGCGAATGGGCCAACTGTGATTGCTTCCCATATAAGATACCCATTATCTTCTGATTTAATAAAGTAATCTTCGAAATGGTGTGTCCACACTTCGTAGTCTTGAACGTAGAGGATTGGGATCTTGGTTGTTGATCCGATGCTGTTAGAGATGTTGATGGGATTGGATTGAGAATCGTCCATGCTTGATCGTTTAACCTGTTATAAGATCATACTTTGTAATACGTAATATTAGGGCAAGATTAATAATTAATGGGATAGTTAATTAAGGAGTGACCACTACTAGAAAACAGGCCTTTAAGGATGCGCAAACAATGACACGCGCTGATAGAGGATACTCATTTGTGTGTGCCCTAAAAAATAATGTCAGTTTTCAAAATTTTGAAGGATAGAAGACACGCATTTGTGCGCGCCTTAAAATTACTGTCGGAAAAGAAAAAAAAAGAAGATGCGGAGGGCGCCTTTCATTAGATGTGTGTCATCTAAGTATGTCGCTTTATAATTTTTTTAATGAAACACGCATTTTAAGCGGGATTTCACCCGCCTATTGGATGCCAAAAACTAAAACCCCCCGCCTCTTTCGATTAGCAAGAAAAAGCCCTAGGGCCTTCGTCTTCATAGCATAATTGCTCTGGATTTCATGATCAAATGCCTCACGCCAACGATGATAACGATCAGCATAAAGAATCCAAATACGTGAAATAGAGGCAAGGGATGATTGAAGGGACGATTCTACTGCTTTTTTCAAGAACCCTATTCAACATATGCCAGACTCTCACACATGCACAGACTTATCGCTATCTCTCTCTCTCTCTCTCTCTCTCTCTCAAACACACACAAAATTGAAGGGACGATTATAGGGCTTTTTTTCAAAACGTAAAGTAGTGCTCTCTACAACATAAGCATCATTGACGTTTTTTCCTTTGTTATGATTCATCATTGAATTGAGGTGGGTAGGGTTAGCGAGAATATGACCAATGTTCGACCACCACTACTACAAAGTATGAAAGCACTATATATTCTGTTCAGATTTTGCGTATCGCAGTCTCTTATTCTCCATTCTTATTATTTATCTTTTTTTGTTTTACAGGTGAGGCTGTATGGTGGTGTTTGAAGGTTGTTAAGGGATTGTGAGGATATTAACCACCACACCGATTATCAAACATTTAAAAGAAAATAGGGTCATGATCCATGGTTTAACTTAGACAGGAAGGATCGTGAAGCTTTATTAAATCAAAGGTGATTTATTTATTATTATTATTATTATTATTGTTTACTTTTGTAGTATATTGGTGGAGCTAAAATATTTTGTTTCTGTTTAAGGGCTATTGTGCTCCAGCATCACCAAACAGTGGTTTGGATTTTCTAGGACTCATGCCATCCGTTCATCACCTCCCTACCACGAGATCTTACAGTTCTGCCCAATCCACCCATTCACTCATCTTTTGCCCAATCCACCCATTCACTCATCTTTTCTGTCAACATCTTATGCCTCCACTATTCCCTTGAAGGTGATTTCATTTTCGGATTTTGATTATGTGCGCTCTAATTTGTATTATGTTTTAACTTTGCTATCAACATCGTATTGTTTAATTAATATAAGTGTTTTCTCTAATTTGGGTGATTTTTAGTTGCACGCCAACTGTTTGTTTAAATGTCTACACACCGATTTCTTTAGTGAAAATGAAGTGGATAGCATACACATATGGTAGCTCATATTATTGACTATTTGTTTGTGTGTAGTAGGATTATGAAGATTCTTCCAATCAATGCAAGGGTACATAGATTTTGGACTATCAGTTTTTTTTAACCAGGTACCTAGAGCATGACAGATGAAGAAGATGTCCTATGTGACCAACATTGTTCTCTTCCGGTAATTGTTATTTCTCTCCATTTTTTTAGCATTACACATGTATTAGTATGAATTGTGCAAAGTTGTGAAAATTTCATCCTCATCATGGTAAAATAAATAGCTATAGAAAGCTTATGTTTTGGCTCTTTTGCAGTTTAATAGGTGTCAACTGCTGGATATAACTAGGTACCGGAAATAACTAGGTGTCGGATATAACAGACAGGCAGTAGCTAATCATGTAAATATTTAATTCACATATAATTTAATAAATATCATTAGATTGTTAATTTTTTTTTATCATTCTAAATAACTACAGAGAACAATGTTGAATAATTTACACCAAAAAGTGCTCATTTACGATGCCTAATGGTGGTTTGAAGTTATATTTTGAGCCAAAGGTAGAAACTGCTTGTATAATAATAATATATGTTTAGTGAAATGAATATCTTTAACTTAATTTATTCATATTGCTGATTTTGGACTTGCTCGATTCACTTCTGAAACCGATACCCATGTGCCCTCGGAACCGACAAAACCAGTTCCGGATACGCACTTATTAAAAAATTTCAAACTAAATTTAGATATAAAAAACAAGTTCATGTTTATGGAGTGTTTAGATATAAAAAACAATATCCTACATCCATCCCTTCCTTTAACAACATTTTATTTCTCAAAATATCTTCAGGTTGTTTGATCAAATAAGTCATTTATGGAGTGTTCTGTTGATGCATCATTTTAAAAGGGAATGCTGGAACACACAGCTGCAGCTCTTCAGCAAACCGAGTCAACTCATTTTCCTCTAATAATTGCTTTGAGGGTAAAAACTAAAAAGTCATGACCTTCATTTTTGTTCTTTCTGTAATCATTATTTACTATTTTACCCTTTTGACTGTTCACATGACACAATCAATTCGGCATCCTTCATGACTCAAACATTAAGCGGTAAACTAGCTAATAGTCAGAGGAAGTTGGTAGCCCTTTCACTTTCAGGGGAAAATTTGGAATCAGTGAATCCTTTGATCTCCCAAATCAACAACGGACCTTTAGACAGTTTCCATGATAAGGTTAGTTTACTTATTTTGTTACCTTTCTAAATTATTTATATAAAATCACAAAAAAAAAATAGAAGAAAAATCTCAAAAACAAACTTTTACCTTGGATTCATTTGCTGATACAGTATTGTGTATCATTCCAGACACAATATCAAGAGAACGAATGGAGTATATTCCTTTTGTTTTTCCCCTATTTTGTTTCGTTTAGAAGAAACCTGGGAAATAGGAAACCAGTTAAAGGAAAAAGTGTAGACCAAAAGAGGATATAGACTTAACGTCCTTTTTTTTAACAAAGCGGGCCAAAAAAGAATTATTCCTTTTGGATCATATACAAAAATACTATAGAACAGGGATAATGAAATCCAATAAATATATAAATCTAATCAAGTGGTTATGGCAACATATGGTCAAGTGCATTCTTGAAATCTGGTTTGGGTTCAGACCATTTAACATCTAGCAGTGGGCGTTTTGGTAATATTCCTTTGCTTCTTACTACCAACCCACACCATACCGTGCCTTTTTGCTTATTTATATACAACCATTCTCTACCAAATACACTAGTCTTGATTAATTCCTCTAGTTGTGCTTCACTAATTCATCATCTCAGTAGCTACATGGTTGCTGCTCAGGTTTTTCTCCCTTTTAGATGTTGCAGACATGTCTTCCTTCTTGTATCATGTTATTTTGTTTACATTATAACCAATTACATACGCTTAAAATAATATACATCTTTTTAATTTCCTCCTCTAATGATTAATATCATTGAATGTTCTCATAATTAGATCCGACAACTACTATAGACAATAGTTGTTCATCATTCTAAGTCAGATATTTGTTCATGTGATAATTCAGGTGATTTTTTGTGAAAAATTCTATAACAATCGTTAATCTCATACTCCTTTATTATTTCACTTATAATAATTCAAGTCTTTGATTTTTTATTTTTTATATAATTTTAACAGATAGCATCATTGGCTATTAGAACTGGAAATGGGCTTCTACTTGAAGGGGGAAAAGAAGCCAAACGATCCAATGCTATCTTGCACAAGGTTAATTTAGTAAATTCAACCAGTCTAAATTTCGAAACTCATTGTTGCTAATTTCTTTTCTTTTCTTTTTTTTTTTCAAATTTCATGATTATTACTTCAGTAATCCCGAAAACAATTGGTAAAGAGCTTATTACACTTGTGACTTCTTGAGAACAAATTCCTCAACTCCTTAAGGTTTGAAATCTTATTTATATATTTAACCGAAATACATGATTCCAATTCCATTTCCGTTTCTAATTCCACTGCAGCTTGATGGTGTAATCGATCTTGTGATTCCAAGAGGCAGCAACAATCTTGTTTTCGAAATTAAATCTTCAATCAAAATTCCTGTTCTAGGTCATGCTATTTAGATCTTAAATCTTAATTTCTAATGATGACATCATCGATGATGTCATAAATCTTTTTTTTAAACTTTCCATTTGAATTTGTCATGTCTGTCTTGACAAATCTGTCGATATAGAAATGGCAGAAAACATAGTTTTGAATTCAAAAACAGGTTACCCATCTACATGTAATGCTATGGTATTCATTTTTTTTAAAAACACTGTATGATGTTTTCTATTTTCTATTTTTTTTTTATTTTTTTAAATTGGAAACACTTCTTCTTCATAAGGATTTGTTGCAAGATGGTATTGGTAATCAGCTTATGAAAGATCTTTACACAAAAAGGTAAGCATTATAATATATAACCCAAATTTTAATTAATGATTTTAGTTTAATGATCTTTTAAAAGCTTCTGGAGCTGGAAACATTGTTTTGATTTCATCTGTTGCAGGTCTTGTTCACGTTTCTGTTGGGTCTGTTTATAGTGTCACCAAAGGTATGGTTTGTTTGGCTCCATATTTTATATCTGATTTCATCTGGAAACAGCTAGCTGTTGTATCTATTCAGACTAGGCTTAGAGCAATGGTTCCAAGAGATGAGTTCAGAAAAAGAAGAAACAAGGCTGCAACTATAGTTCAGGTACTATGGATGAATTATGTTTGTAAAGTATTTAAGAAAATGATTAGAAACAAGGGTGAATTTGTACAGATTAGTTAGCTACTTGCAGGTTGATCTTAAATAAGCAAAGGGGCAATGGATTGTATTTTTTGTATCTAATTCGTTTGTAAACTTTTGTTACAACTTCTATTGATTTGTTTTATCTTTCCATGGAACGATTATTTGTATGACGTTAAATTTATGCAATGGATTCTATTTTTTGTATATGATATTTTATTTTCTATTATGAAACATTAAATACAAATTTAATTTGAAAATAAGTAAATCTATAAATAATATTTTTTTAAGCATTTAAAATTATGATACGCAAAAATGTGTGTCGTCTTCATTTATAACATGGCCTTTCTTGACAGTGGCTTTCTTGATACGCATTGCGTGTCATTAACACGCGCGTCGTAAGGTTACGACACGCGAATGCGTGTCGTTTTCCTTTATGACAGGGCCTTCCTTGATACGCATTCCGTGTCGTAAATGCGCGTCATAATTGCGTGTTGTAAATGAGCATCGTAAATGCGCATCGTCTCTCTTTATGACAGGGCCTTCCTCGACGCGCATTTGCGCGTCGTCTGAGCCTTTTACGACGCGCAATGAGCATCGTAAAAGGCTGTTTTTCTAGTAGTGGACGACTCAATAAATATCAATGAATGCGGAATGAACCCTAATCACTTCTTTGATAGAAGAGATGTGTATGAATTACACAGCCTCCTGCTCTCATACCAATTGATGAGTTGAAAATACTCTTTGATCAATTAGATCTTACACAAGTTTATCAGAATCATGCAAAGAAAATAACAAACAAGATAATGAACCAACAATGAGCTGAATGATTCAATATATTCACGCCTCAGCAGAGCTCGATGAAGAACTTCCGCTGTAGAGGCTTTTAGGGTTACAATTGATAGAAACAAAAACGTTATGAATGATCGACTAAAACGCTACGTACCAAGATGAATGCAAGCATCTATAAATACTAAAACCCTAAATATTAAATCACAGATTGACAAGCCCAATCCGGATACAAAACTGGGCTAAGAAACGAGCCCAAGACGCAACACATATTGAACCCAACACTAACAATAACAACATATAACATATCCGGCCAGTTTTATCTTGACATAAAACTAATAATAACAACATACTATATAACTTAACATTTAGAGCTTTCGAATATTACTTCGGTATTATATCGCACACAACATATATGCAGAATCCTAAGTATAACTCAAGATCTACATTAATAAATTAACATACTGATAAGTTAATAATAGCTGTATGTATTCAAAATGTTATATTTAGAAAAATGTTAAATTAACATGCATTTTCCCCCGAAATATTAGAAACTGGGGCCGTGAAACTCACCCTAGTAGCGTGATTTTATGATATCTAAGCAAAACGGTCAGCGTGCGAGATCGTCAGGGCTCGGGATGCAAGATCGCCTCAGCAAAGGAGAGAAAGGGAAGAAGTTTTTGGTGTAAGAATGGCTGAAGTCGGACCTTCTATTTATAGTAGGAATTTAGGACTCTCACATCGTGAGTGTCATAAGGCTCACGTCGTGAGTCTTGCATGATCACCCTGTAGACTTGCCATTTGCGTCCCTAGCTTCAGAAGGTGGCCATGTGACTCCTCACGTAGTGAAAAACACCTTGTTCACGTCTTGACTTTGGATCCTATCCTCTCGCCGCCTCGTCACACCTTCTCGATTCTGAAATGTCGCAAAATGACTCCTCACATCATGAGTGTCATAAAACTCACGTCGTGAATTTATTTAGCTTAGGGTTTCTAAAAGCTAAATCTCCGGAAGGCCATAAATTTTGCATACGAACTCCGTTTTTGACGTTCTTTATATGCATGCGTAGGTATTTACGAGTACTACAACTCTCTTTTAGACTTAAATATATAATTATAAGTCTATTTTAAATTTCTCTTATTATAAAGATTTATAGTGTTCAGTTATTATAATGTCTTCATGCCACTAGTACAAAAATGAGTTATGGTCACACCAAAAAATTGTGACCATATGCCTATAGTCACAACTTTTTTTTTCATTGAAAGTGTCACCGAAGGCCATGCCATTTTAGACACCATACGACCACTTTTAAGTTTAGTGGTTATATCATATGAAAAACTATGACCATAGCATAAAAGTGTGGCTATAGGGTGAAGTTTTTTGTTGTTGTAATCTATCATTTTATCCAATATTGTGACTATAAACCCTTTATAGACACACCTTCTAGTTATTTTAGTGACGATCTTTCATGGAATGGTCACATGAAGTTTTTTTTCACTGTGGCGTATTGATAATAATTCGTCACACAAAATAATGTTCATTATGACTATTGACTATCGTTTAGAGACACAAAATTAAGCGAAATATGACCATATTCAACAAATGGCAACATGAATTTATTTGCACTATGACGTTTTGCTAATAATTTGTCACACACAAAAAAAAATATGACTATTAACAATCTTTTAGACACGCTCATAATAAAATAAATCATGACCATGTTCCCAAAATGGTCACATAAATTTATAATTTCAATGACCAAAAGTATTTTAAAGACACATACTATTTTTTTAACTATGTTCATCCAATAACTTTCAGCCACATATGTATAATTTATCATGACCATTGCTATGATTCAAACATATAAAAAGTTGTAAGTGTGGCTATTTTATATCTTTTCTACATAGAAAATCAATTAAACATGACTGTAATTGATTTATAGACACAAAAGTATATATAACAGTGGCTAATATTCATCTTATGAACATAACAATTTGTTTGAAGTATGACCGGTTTTATCATTTAGACATTAAAATTTTTCAGAGTGTGACTATTGGTTTTATTATAGTCACATATACATACTTAAACCATAGTTGCAAATGTCGTATAGTTACATAATGTTTTTATAACTATGACTATTATAGAACATACAGCCACATGAATGTAGAAATAAGTGACATATGTTAAGATTTTGACACACATTTATCTACATTGACAATACTATTTAGTTTTTAGTCATGTATACTAAATTGAAGCATGACTATAAAATCATTGTAGATACACAACTAATGTTTATTGTCCTTATTGTTTAGTGTTTAGCCACACAAATTTTTCATAACCATAACATTTGTTATCCTTTAGACACACCTATAGTTTTTAGTGTCTCTATTGATCATAATTTAGATATCGCGAATCAATACAATCGTAACCATTAGTGTTGTATCGACACTCAAATTCATTCACCGTGACTACATTTACCCTATTGTGATATTACTTATAATCACATGATTATTAAATAGAGTGACATGTGTATCTTTTCTGAGGACACAAAAATTTTCAATGTTGTATTTCTTTTACTTTTAGTGACACATGTTTAATTAAAAGTGACTATAAAACACTTGTAGACACATATTGTGTTTCTATCATGACTATTGTTAACCCTTTAGTCACACGACACATTTTTTTGTAAAGTAACAATTCTATACATTTTAGTGATAAAATATAATAAAACATGATGGTAAAATGATTACAGACACATGGAATAAAAAACAATGTTAAATAAATGTAACCATAAATGGACAATGTGAAACGATAAAAAAAAGATCAATATTAATAATAATTCAAATGAAATTTCTCATATATAATTTCCCTAGTTAAAAGGTAAAAATTCTTGTAATCAAAACAAGTTTACTTAAATATGTTAAAGAAAGGAAAAAAGGCATAAACCAAAAACTAGATTTGTTTAGTCTTGTTGAAAGTGCTCCTTGTATGCTTGCCAAGGCTCTGTCTTGTTATAAAACTTTTTTTTTGCTTCTTGGAGCTTTTACATTCATCATCTTGAGTTGATCTCATTCGTGGTATCTGTAGCAACATTGAACCAAACTTGAATAACTAATAATTTAAAAAACTAATTTCCAAAAGAAAAAAGTTAAATGCATAATGTATTTAATAGAAGAAACAAACCTTTTTGTCACATTTGACAAGGTATTTGGGCCATGCAACAAAAGTTTTATGTGCCTCCTCAACTGTTTTGATATCACCGTTTTGATATGGTAAAAATGCAGCTCCCTTTATCACTTCATCAATTGATACTTTATAGCAGTCGTCTTGAAGTGGAACTCCATGAATGGCTTGTCTTTCTGAAGAAATGTAAACTGTACCATAAGCAACGTTGCTTCTATTATCTGGATATTGTAGAATGCACTTCGTCGTCTTCATTGTCTACAATGATTGCACATATTTAGATAAAAAAGAATAAACACATATTTATATTTGCATTTTAAAATACATACCTGTGGGAGTTTTGGTGAATGAGTATCTTTTGTTTTTGGATGTGAATTTGTAGTCACACTCTTAGATTCAACGGTTATTTTTCCGGTTTTTGTTATTACCTAGAAAACAATAATTCAATAATATATGGAAATCAGAAAATACTACAAAAAATATTAAAATCAATGAATTTTTCAAATAATTACTTACAAAATACTACAAAAAATATTAAAATCTATGAACTTATCAAATAATTACTTACTCGTGTAACTGGTTCATTTGTCATTGCTTTATCTGTGATAGGTGTTTTCTCTATGATAGTATTAGTAACAGGAGTACCATGAGATTCAACATTCTTGTCCACTGAAAAGACCTACAAAATTGAAGGAAAAGGGTCAATTTATGAAATAAATGCATTTTGCAAAAACAATAACAATTCACTTACTTGTGTTGGAGACTGGTTCGGATGAGATGTTAGATTTGGTATCATTGTTCCTTGTGATTCAAGATGAGCTAAAACTAGCTTTAGTGTTTTATCTTGTTCTCTCACCTTTGTTGACAACGCTTTAAGTTCTTCATCTCTTTTCTGGAGCTCAAGTCTCTCATTCTGTAGTTCAAACTTTAGGTCCGCAATTTGTTCTTTTGAAGATCCTTTGGTTCTAGGAATATTGAAATATCTACTAGCAGTCACACCTGTGCCAACCCCTTTTAAGAATCCACCATTATCCTTGCCAAAGACTAATGACATGGCATCCATCCCAGGATCAAGCTTCACATCTCCATATTTAATTTGTTTTTCATGTTCCACCTGTACACAAAAAGATATCAAAATAACATCGTCAATATTTATTTAACAAGTCACATTTGTTATAGTAATCAAATAACCAAGGTGAAAGTTTCAATAACTTACTAGTTTTTTTGCCATGAGTTTTACATTAGCATCTTCTATTTCGCCTGCTTTGTTTTCACGTCCTTTACACCACATTAATGACCGGAGTGGTATTTCATCTTTGGCAAGTACTTTATTATTTACCTAGTAATCATAGTTGTCAACTCGTAAAAGTCACGATATATACATATATATATATATATATATATATATATATATATATATATATATATATATATATATATATATATATATATATATATATATATATATTACTCCTATTTATACTAAACATGAAAGAAACATAGTTAAATACATCCAATGGAAAAACAAAACTTAAGCAAATAGCAAGACTTAAAATAATGAAACTTTTCCCAAAATACCCCTGGCATTAAAATTATCCCAGTTTTTAATTACTCCAACAGTGGTGGCACATTAAATTCACTTTTTTGTAAAGAATGTACTTCAAAACTTGAAAGTATAATGCTCTAATTGGTAGTTCCACTTTCACAATTTTAAGTAACAAACACATGAGACATACATAATTGAATAAAATATAGAACTTACCAATTTCTCTCTTAAACCCGTATATCCTCCCCGTCCCATCCGGTGATTATAATTCGACTTAGAACGCGCTTCTATCGTCTTTGTCGACATATCCTTCCAAAAAATAAATTCACGGATCTTATAAGTATTTTTTATTTTAAGAAACTATAAAATAAAAGTGATAATGAAAAAAAAGGAATTTAACCTTGAATTGTTCAGACTGTGTGTGTTCAACGAACTTGTCCCAATGATCTTGGCTAAGGATTATTGTACGATATCGTTTAGGAATTATTTTAAGCTTGGTGGTATTCCCTAAGTTGGGCTTTATGTACTTTGCGTACAATTTTCTTCTAAAATTCCGTAGAAGGATACCAAGCCGATTCATTATATATTTTCTTCGACTATCTTCAATTTCATAAAAACGCTAAAATACGAATCACTAATATGTTAGGCGTTGAATCATGAATGAAATTGCATTGGAGAAAAACAATAACATATGGGCTACATATGGACTATCTCTTCCCGTAGTTTTTCCTTGACTTCTTTTGTTACCTTCTTCCAGTTGAAAACACTAACTCCTACCCTTTCCCGTACTAGGTCTCCCAGATAACTAGGTAGTTGTGATCTATACTTCCATGAAAACCTTCCAAATTCATCAAACTTTACACGTTTTTTTCTTCCACCAGAATTTGTATGTTCGGTCCGTAACTTTGGCAATCGAGTCAATCCCCTATTCCTTGTTTTATTTGTAGTCTTTGTGTTGCTATCGGAATCACTGTTGCTATCGGAATCACTGGAAGTGTAATCAGATTTGTCTTCATGTTCTGAATCATCTAGATCAGATCCATCATATTGGTCCTCCTCCTCCATTTCCAATATAGGTACATCTTCAATCAATGTGTTTTCTCCTTCCATAATGCTTAATTAAACATGAAAAAATAACATACAAGGTATATTAGTATGTCATTAAGGAATAAGACACCATACAATGATATTTAATATAAAATTTTGATTTAGGCTTTTCATCAAACAATTGGTGTGCAACAAGCACACTGCAGGGGCAATATGGTCCAAAATTGTGAAATTCCATAATATTTTGCAATAAAAACATATTGCAGGTTCCGATATTAACCAAAACTGTAAAAATTAACATTTTTTATTATAAAAATACTGCAGGGGCAATATGGTCATAATTTTTTGCTGTAAAAACAGTTTACTAGATATATGGGTTGTAATAAATGTTTATTACCAATGATATATTGAGCAACGATACTTGATTGTTTTGCAAATATGACTAACAGCAACTACAGGTTCAATTTTGCAGCAATTATTCTGTAATGAAAAACCTTAAATACACCTCTATAGTAAAAATTGTCAAAAGTCGATAACCCATTTCATCAAAGGTATAATAGATGAAACGAAATAAAATAAAATCAAAAACCAAA